GTTAAGTTGATGAGAGAGTTACAATGGTAACTTCGTTCCAACAGGCACGATAACATCAAATAAGACATACAATTTACCCCACCCCTGAATTTTACAACTGCTCTATTGTAATTCTTAAACAGACAGCAAATTGTTCCGTCCTCTAAACACTTCGTTTCTCCTTTCCCACTCTTCCAGTCTTCTTCAACAAAGATAGAGATTAGCATTTATGACGAAGGTAGAAGATCAAAACTGGATGCTAGAAAGTTCACTCAAGGTTGGTTGTTGGCCACTTATTGAGGATCTTAGAAAAAACGCTTCTGCACCTTTCAAGGACAACAAAATTTAAAAAATAAAAACAAATAGAATACCTGACATTGCTGGGGTCAAGATACCATCACCTATTATCATTGATGTTCCCATCAGAACCAACAGCAAGAGAAGGGTTTTTAGAGAAGATTTACGTTCCAAAATCTCTTTTATATTTAAAGCCCTTTCCAGCTCTGGAGTGGGCAACTTGAGCTTAAAACTTGAGATGCGTTCATCAGCTGGCTGTCGATTAGGAAGAAGGTTAACATTTGCATACCTGCAGATCAATGAATACAGTGCAAATGTTCCTCCTGCCATTAAAATCATTGAGTTGCTAAGGAAACCATCTTTCCCCAGAAGACCGGCACATGATAAGTCAAAAAAATAAAAGGCAGTTTTATGAACTAACCATACCTTCCCCATTATCATTGGCCTTGAGCACTATAAATACATATTTCATCAGTGGAAGGAGAGCAATTGTGTATAACACAATGGACAATGCCCCCAAGACATCAACTTCAGATGTGATGGGCACCTTGCTGAATACATCTGAAAAAACATATAAAGGGCTTGTCCCCAAGTCACCATATACTACACCAAGCGTTTGAAATGCCAGAGCAAGTGTACTCAAAAGAGAATCCTCCTGTTTATTTGAAGAGACACAGATTAGTAAAGGGAAACATGAACGTAGGCACTTGTAGAAACTCTTTCTCCAAAAAGATAATCACAAGTACAAACTTGTAGAAACTCTTTCTCCAAAAAGATAATCACAAGTACAAACTTGTAGAAACTCTTTCTCCAAAAAGATAATCACAAGTACAAACTGAAAGAAGAGCAAGCATTTATATAATTATATCCCTATGATTCATATTGTTATCTTAAAACTTTTTCATGACGCATTGTTAGCCAATACTATCTGGAAAATGGAAGTTGCCTTGCTAATCATTACACATAAGGAAAAGAGAAAAGGAAATAATCTTTTCTCAAAGTTCGACCTTAGCTCTACTACATTCTTGCCATATATAGGGACCAAAAACTCAAAAACTACTTCCACCAAACTCCAAATATTATTATTAAGTCAGATGAGGAATTGCCTTGGGCAAAAAGGAGGAGAAGATGAAACAATAAAGTTTTCTTGGCCTCTAAAAGTTGTTACAAAAACTGTATGTTCTCAATACTCTCCCTCTTATGCCAAGCTTTTGATTAGTTTCTTTTTAACTAATGCGCAGAAATTGCATATAACTCCTAGTATGAGCTTCACATCTTATGTAAACTCATACTGCCATTCCTAAACTTGGATAAAGGAGAAGAGTTGCAGTAAGTTGACGCTCAATGTAAAACTAGTCAATTTCTAATGAATCACAAGATTAACACATAGCAGCAAGCCGTTTGGATCAACAAACTTAGGAGTAATCTTGGAGATTTTATCCTAAATTT